CCCCCAGCTCTTACCCGGCTCTTGGCGGCCCCCCCCGCAGCGGGCGGCTCCGGAACGTCCTTCTCTGTCATCCTGTGGAGGGAACGCAGCACCCATGGAACCCAGTGCTCAGCGCCCAGCACCCATGGAACCCATTGCTCACCACCCATTGAAACCCATTGCTCAGCACCCATTGAACCCATTGCTCAGCACCCAGCACCCAGTGCTCAGCATCCATTGAACCCAGTGCTCAGCACCCAGCACCCACGGAACACATTGCTTAGCACCCATTGCACAGCACCCACCAACCAGTGCTCAGCACCCATTGAAACCCAGTGCTCAGCACTCATGGAACCCAGTGCCCAGCACCCAGTTCTCAGCACCCAGCACCCATGGAACCCATTGCTCAGCACCCATTGAAATCCAGTGCTCAGCACCCATTGCAACCATTGCTCAGCACCCACTGAAACCCAGTGCTCAGCACCCAGCACCCACGGAACACATTGCTCAGCGCCCATTGCTCAGCACCCACTGAGCACAGCCCAGCACCCACCAACCATTGCCCAGCACCCATTGCTCAGCACCCATTGAAAGCCATTCCTCAGCATCCATTGAACCCAGTGCTCAGCACCCAGCACCCAGTGCTCAGCACCCAGCACTCACTGACCATCGCCCAGTGCCTATTGCTCACCCAGCACCCACTGACTACAGCACCCGTCGCTCAGCACCCACCGACCATTGCTCAGCACCCATTGCTCAGCGCCCATTGCACAACACCCATTCAACCCATTGCTCAGCACCCAGCACCCATTGAACACATTGCTCAGCACCCATTGCTCAGCACCCATTCGAATCCATTGCTCAGCACCCATTGAACACATTGCTCAGCACCCACTGCTCAGCACCCAGCACCCATTGCACAGCACCCACTGACCATTGCTCAGCGCCCATTGCACAACACCCATTCAACCCATTGCACAGCACCCAGTGCTCAGCACCCAGCACCCATGGAACCCATTGCTCGGCACCCATTGCACCCATTGCTCAGCACCCATTGCCTATCATCCAGCACCCATTGCTCAGCTCTCATTGCAACCATTGCTCAGCACCCACTGAGCACAGCCCAGCACCCAGCACCCAGCACCCATCAACCATTGCTCAGACTCCTTGCCCAGCACCCACCACCCATTGCTCAGCACCCACTGAGCACAGCCCAGCACCCACCACCCATTGCTCAGCACCCATTGCTCAACACCCACCACCCATTGCTCAGCTCCCACAGCTCAGCACCCATTGCTCAGCGCCCAATGCTCAGCACCCACTGAGCACAGCCCAGCACCCATCACCCCGTTCCCCCCGCAGAGCAGTGGGTGCAGGCAGTGCGGTGCTGACACTGAGCCCCCCGGGCATCACCACGTCCCACCCCCCCATGCAGCTGCAGCCCCCCCCGACCCCACAGACCCGTTTATACTGGGGGGGGCTGAGCTGCTCCTGCATCCCCCAAACTCCCCCAGCCCTTAAAACTGGGCACCAGTTTGACACCCCCCAGCAGCCCCCACCCCCCCGAAGTGACCAATGAAAGGGACGGCGCTGGGGGGGGGCAGCCCCATGGAAGGGGGGCTGTGGGTCCCAATGATGGCAGTCCTATTTAAGGGCTTCTATGGGTCCCAAGGGTGGCAGCCCTGTTTAAGGGGTTCTGTGGGTCACAAGGGTGGCAGCCCCATGGAACGGGGTCTGTGGGTCCCAATGATGGCAGTCCCATTTAAGGGGTTCCATGGGTCCCAATGATGGCAGCCCCATTTAAAGGGGTCTGTGGGTCACAAGGGTGGCAGCCCCATGGAACGGGGTCTGTGGGTCCCAGGGTGGCAGTCCCATTTAAGGGGTTCCATGGGTCCCAATGATGGCAGCCCCATTTAAAGGGGTCTGTGGGTCCCAAGGGTGGCAGCCCCATGGAACGGGGTCTGTGGGTCCCTATGATGGCAGCCCCATTTAAGGGGTTTTATGGGTCCCAAGGGTGGCAGCCCCATTTAAGAGGATCTGTGGGTCCCAGGGGTGGCAGCCCTATTTAAGGGGGTCTGTGGGTCCCAATGATGGCAGCCCCATTTAGGGGGGTCTGTGGGTCACAAGGGTGGCAGTCCCATGGAACGGGGTTCTATGGGTCCCAAGGGTGGCAGCCCCATTTAAGGGGATCTGTGGGTCCCAGGGGTGGCAGCCCTATTTAAGGGGGTCTGTGGGTCCCAAGGGTGGCAGCCCCATGGAACGGGGTCTGTGGGTCCCTATGATGGCAGCCCCATTTAAGGGGTTCTATGGGTCCCAAGGGTGGCAGCCCCATGGAAGGGATTCTATGGGTCCCAAGAGTGGCAGCCCCGTTTAAGGGGGTCTGTGGATCCCAATGATGGCAGCCCTATTTAAGAGGTTCTATGGGTCCCAGTGATGGCAGCCCCATTTAGGGGGGTCTGTGGGTCTCAGGGTGGCAGCCCCATTTAGGGGGATCTGTGGGTCCCAGGGGTGGCAGCCCCATGGAAGGGGTTCCGTGGGTCCCAATGATGGCAGCCCCATTTAAGGGGTTCTGTGGGTCCCAGGCCCCCCCGGCTTTGCAGCGCAGTGTTGGACGGGGACCGGGGAAGGGGGGGGGGAGTCTCCCAAAGGCACTTACACCGCATGCAGAGCTCACGTCCAACGGCGAAACCCCCCCCCCAGGGAGGAGCGGGCGATGTGGGGGCCTGGCTGAGCCCCCGGCCCCCCGAGCTGGGGCTGCCCCAGGGCTGCGGCGAGCGGATTGACAGCCGGAGCGGCACCGACAGCTGAGCGGAGGGGGCTGACGCCGAGAAATTGGAGCCCGCGGGGAGGGCAGGAGGAGCACCGCGGCTATTTGGGGTTGGGGCTGCCGGGCGGCACAGCGGGCGGCCCGCCCACCCCTGGCACGGCGCTCGGAGCCCGTCGTCGGGCGGTGCGTCGGACGCCCCCGTAGCTGGGAGGGGGGAACGGGGGGAGCCGCGCGGGTCGCGGGGCCACGCTTGGATGCGGACCCTACCGGTCCGCTTCGCATCGCGAGCTGGGAATCGGCACCGGGGACGCGCCGCCCTCGGGCTGCTGTCGGGCAGTGGGGTGGGGGGTTGGGGTGGGGGGGTCCGCAGGCGGCATCGCTTCTCACTTCTGGGCCAGGAGGACACGGGGCTGCCTGCACCCACAGCTCGGTGCTGCCCGCGGTCGGGAGGGGTGGGACGGAGCACAGCTGGGACGGAGCACAGCTGGGAGGGAGCACAGCTGGGACGGAGCACAGCTGGGATGAAGCACAGCTGGACAGCCCACAGCTGGGACAGCCCACGGCTCACAGGGCCACAAACACCCAAAGGAGACGAGCAGCCTCCCCTCCCCACGGCCAAACCAGGAGCCGTTCCTGCGGGGCAGCAGCACTCCCTGTGAGCCCCCCTGTGCCTTACCTGAAAGGAGAACAGAACCC